ATGGTTAGCTCGAGGGTAAGATAATTCTCATACCCATGACCCAGGTAACCCATGACATGATCTCTCTACCACTGGATGTGCTGCATTCGGAACTTCATTGCAAGCCGAGAGCAGTATACGAATTAACATGGGGATTCGAACCCAAGTCTCAAAAATGGCAAGCGAAAGCTAAATTACTTATCATGTAAGCCATATCGGCTCTAGAATATTTATTATTTGAGTTATAAAAAACAACGGAAAAATTAAAATGTAGCATTATAAATTTCGTTATAATGTAAACGCGCTGTATGTCGATTGAAGGAGTTGCTGTGCAGTTTTGCCATTCCTTCTTCTCACAATTTTGGTGAAAGCGGTGTCTATAATAATACAAAAAACAAACAAATAAATAAATAAAATTCGGCGTAATGGAATAAATTCTTATTTTTGTCGGTTTTCCTTTAAACATTTTCTCGACAGGAAGATGAACTTTTCCGACGAGAGCAGTTTGTCCATTTTGTTAATAATAATTTTTTATTATATGAACCCCTTAACGATCGGTTAATTTTCAAGAAAGCGGTCATAAAAGTGCCTATTTTTTATNATTCTTATTTTTATCGGCTTTCCTTTAAACATTTTCTCGACAGGATGATGAACTTTTCCGACGAGAGCAGTTTGTCCATTTTGTTAATAATAATTTTTTATTATATGAACCCCTTAACGATCGGTTAATTTTCAAGAAAGCGGTCATAAAAGTGCCTATTTTTTATCCCTATCACAAATACACGTATTTGATTAGTGCTGACATCTAGTTTAAAATTAACTAACTATCTACAGTTACCTTAAAAATACAGTGGTGGACAAAATTAAGAGATGGAAGACATTTTCCCAAATATCTCAAAAAATACTNAATGAAATTTGGTATGGTATAGCTTATTCCATGATAATAAAGTATGCAAAACAAAAATGTAAGTGCCATTCACTGGGAAGACCTATTGCCAATAAATCCAATGTACTCTGAACTTAAGGATAAAAGATGACAATAAAAGTGAGGCTTGTACAGTGTGTGTGTGTTGCCTCTAGTATGGTGTATGGTCACCCCTGACGAACAGACAGCATGCACAACGAGTATGCATGCTGTTAATAAGGAAGTTAAGGAGGACTTGTAGACCCATTCTTCCACGAGAGCAATTTTCAACTCCAGAATGGTTCTGGGGGGAGGTTGACGCATCGCAATAACTCTCCCAAGAGCATCCCAAGCATGTTCAATAGGATTCAGGTCAGGGGATTTGGCTGGCCAATCTATTCGTTGAATATCCTCGCTTTCCAGATACTCATCAACCATGAGAGCCCTATGTGGTCCCGCATTGTCGTCCATAAAAATGAATTCAGGGCCAACAGCGCCCCTGAAAAGACGCACATAGAGCTCTAGGACCTCCTGCCTGTACCTCTGGACATTCACGGAACCATTGTAAAACACATGGAGCGGTGTGCGGGTATCTTGCATGTGCGAATGAATGTGCGAAAATGCTTTCCATCTCTTAATTTTGTCAACCAGTGTATCCAGGTACTGCCATCTGGTGTGTAAAATGAGAAATAAAGTGTTTTGCGGACAAAAGAAATGAATTAGTTTTAATCTTATTGGCGCGTTACTACTGAACACTCCAGCCCGGAAATATCACGGGAGCGAGAAATACAGGGCGAAACCTCACTCTGTCATTTTCACGGGAGCAAGAAGAAAGGGGTTAAAAAAAATTGTGCCTTTTCCTGATAAATAGAAAAACTATTTCTGATGGGATAACGCGTGCATTTTAATAAAAGAATAATTGAGATTCTCTGGTGGGGGATGAGAAATAAATAATAAGTCAAGAATCATAAATAGCAATATTATTTGCAAGCTGGGAGTTTCGTTAGGTTAATAGAAAATGACCTTAAAATGTAAATCTTATTACCGGCAATCGTTTCATTTTCAATTATTTCTTTCGAAAAGAAATTACTTGGACCACCATTCATTATCGCATATATAATAAATAAACGGAATTTTTTTGTTTTAATTTCACTTTTATGTAATTCTTGGTATTGACACAACTATTTTGCAGATTATTACTACTTTGTATAACTACGTTAATTGATTACCGATAACTTATATACTACATGAGTTCATTCATTAATATTCTACCTATCTGTACGTATATATTATCTATTTCTATATTAATTTGCATTTTTGCATCTGATGAAGTTCTGTGAATGAAACTTGTCTCTATCTGTTATTATGGTTTTAATTTTAATGGGAACCAATAAATGCTTTTTCTTTCAAAAATGTCAATGTCCTATTTTTTTTTAATACCGATTGTTTTGATAAATTTTTATACTATTACAGTGGGTAACTTCAAAATTCCATAGCTTAAGATATAAAATAACATAGAATTCTTTCATTTTGTTATTTTTTATAATCCTTCGAAATGATCCAATTTTTATAAAAATTTGAGTTAAACTAACTGTCACTTCAACTTATAAGTCGAAGTTGTTATGGTGTTGTATTTTCACAACAGAAATGACGTTTTTTTAAATTTTATTTATTTTTATCTCTTTATAAAACTGAAAGACTAAAAGGACTAAGTTACATCACTTTTCTTATAAATTTACTTTTAAGCTCAGAAAATTATACAGCTTATCAAAGATAGGTTTTAAGCAACTTCTTTGATATTCCAGAATGAACTCAAGTCATCTGGGATCAAATGGGAAAACGAATTTCATCGCACCCTTATTCCTTTCTTCTCGTGAGTCCCATTCAATAGAAACTCAAGGATTAACATATTAATGTTAAAATTTAGAACACCCTGTTCGCTGCGTTAAGTAAATTGTAGTTAAGAGCACTTATTTGTGTTGTAGTTAGGTACAATTTACCAGCTATGGCTATGATTAAGATTCTTATAACCGTTGCGGAAATCCATCAGAGATGATGAATAATCATCATGAGATAGGATTGTGAAACCTTTATTTAAAACTAGGGAAGGTGAATATTTACGCGAATATCGACTTATTACAGAATGAAGAGCGTCGATAGTACTAACTTTTTTTTTTAAATATTTTTTGTCGCAAGATGCCAAAAATTGGAGCCACAAAATGAAATCAACCGTATTATTCTTATCTAAATTATAAAATCTTTTCAAGGATATTATTTCAAAATTGTTTTCCACCGTTCTGAATGACTGAAATTGCTGCAGTAACTTCTACGAAACTGGAGTCACTTAAAAATTTCTTACAAAAAAAAAAAAAAAAAAAAAAAAAAAAAAAAAAAAAAAAAAAAAAAAAANAAAAAAAAAAAAAAAAAAAGAAGAAAACTGTTCGTTTGAAATCTGCAGGATATTATTTCTTATTGTCTACCAGTGTGCATCTTAATCATTTGAATACCAAATTTATTTCTTCAACTTATTAATGATTTGAAAACCTAATAAAATTAGGAAAACTAAGGCATATACAAGATTTTTTTAAAAAACATTCTTAAAAATGGCTCTTATAAATGGGCATAGCAAAAGTATTTTTAACGGTGCACCAATTTTGATTTTTCTCGAATGGGCCCCTACTATCAGCATTTTTAAACTCATTTCGAACGTTATTTTTTTTTCTTGTAAAAAACGATGCAATATTAGTATTATTTCTTCCTTCTTTTTTTTCTTCCTAACTTTAGAATCAGACATTGTTATCAAAGCAGTTCGACAAAATAAAGTGATTCAATTTCTTATTCTACTAATATTGCAGAGAAATGTACTCTAATTATATTTCTCTAATAACGCTGGGAAGTTAAAATAAAAAATGCTCTAAGCTAATACTTCCTTTACCTCTTGAGGCATGCACGTACATGCAAATTACATTTCACTTAATAATGATAGAAGCTGATGAATAATAAGTGTGGAAAGTGGGTAGCTGTATCAATCTTATTCAACATACCAAAGACGTTTCTTCTTTCTTTACATTTGTTAGGTTTTCAAAAAAGTTTGTTTCCCTCCCAGACAGCGGAATCTCTTACTGAGAAACGAAAAGGATCAAAGAAATGAAAAAGTTTGTAGAACTGTTCTGATAATATGTTTCGCTATGACAGGAGACTCCTTTTTTAATATAAAGAATACTTTATCTTCCTTCTAAATTAAAATTTAGTTTTAAGATAATTTTTTTGTGCAGATGAATTTAAGAAAATCGAATTAATGACTCAAATAAGGACGACAACCTTGCTTTCAGTTCTTAGGGGGTTCAAATTCTGAAAACCCTATCCTGACTGTGCCACTGTGTACCCGAACCAAAAAAGTAGTTCAATTTGGCAGATCTGAAATATAATAATCGCAGAATACAATAGGAGGTGCACTATTTGATAGATGCGACTCTTACTAAAGGTAAGAAGTGATTTGAACATGCCTCTTTTATAAGGGTGGTTGACTGAATGTAAACAACAACAAATTTCTTAAAACCGGAAAAAATTTAGAAAACTTCCGGTGTATCACTGTAATGCTCACGAGGCGATATGTGAACAGGCTTAATATTTTAAGAAGTTTTATTATTGTGATTTTTTTAAACTTACGCGAAATCTCGCCATTAATAAAAGTTTCTTGTAATTTATAAATTCTGACAGGTTGTGAACCGAAAAAAAATTTAACAGAATTATTATCACAGCATAAATAAATTGTAAGGTTTGCCACGTTTTTAGTGTAATTCCATATTTGGCAATAATTGTATTTAATAACGATCGCAAGTTGACATTTTTTGGGTAGTGTCATAGTCATAGCATGCTTGCGAGGTCTTCTGAATTCATTTGTTACTTGTTTTGTTAAAAATTAAATTGAAAGAACGCATAACATTGTGAATACTGCATTCGTATAATAATAGTGAATGGTGCGCTTTTCCAAGCTTAGGCGTAAAAATTAATCGGAAGTAGTAACCCGGAAGTCTCACGATGAATTTTAACTTTTAGCGCCATCTGTGCTTAGTTCTATATGATCAACCATCCATATGTAGACGTAGATTAAAGCAATTCAAATCTGGCAACTGACAAATTCAGTTTCATTCTGTAATGTTTATTTTTTCTTGATCATTGTTTTCCTATTTAGGTTGTCGTCTTCAAATAAATTTGCGAAACAATTTGTTTTTTATTATATCATTAAATCACCACAAGCATATCGAATAGATAGTTTCTTATATTTGGATTCATTCTTTTGCAAAGTAATTAAATTTTGTTCGTTTTGTCCTATGCTTACGCAGTTCATTGAAACAAGAAACTGAAACAATTTAAACAAAAAACTTACTTTCTTGGTTGTTTTTTTTTTAAATTTTTAATGATAATGATAGATATATACTGGTATTAACTTTATTAGTCTTTTCTTTCTGAAACTTTTATTTCTGTTGTCAGTAACTTTCTGTAAGTTTCGCTTTGTGTACGTTTACATTTGCAATGAATTTCAACATTTCGTCATTCATTTTTGCCTCGTAAATGAAGTTATTGTTGCACATATCCATTGTTTGAATTTTGGGCCGTTTCGATGACATGCAGGGCACCAGGTTTGGGTTTTTACCAGGGAAAAAACAGTTTTTACCAGGACATTCAGACATCACAATATAGACTACTGAAAATATAGACATGGTAAAAACTAGGTTTTTTACGGTAAAAGCCATGGGAAAAACCTGGTAAATACTATTAGCCCATGTTTATTTTGACATATAGTGGTTTGTTATTTATAACTGATTGCAATATATATATTCAGTGTTTTCATCATAGAAAAAAAATGGGTGAGAATTTCTCACCCTTTCTCAAAAACAGGGTGAGATTTCAAAAAGTTAAGTGAGATTTCTAAAAACTAAAACTCTTGAAAAAAAATCATTTCTTTAATTATAATACATTTTTAACGTCTTCTACTTTTAAAAGCATTGAATATTTTTGGTGCATCATCATAGAAGATTTTGCCTTTACAAGGTATTTGTCCATCTTACATTAGCACATAAAAAATTTCAATGTCTTTCATGAAGAAACCTTACCTACGGTAAACACGTGGTTACAGAGAAATGCGTTCTGAAAGGGTTTCTGTGGTTGTGTTCTGTTGTTCGAAAAGGTTCTGAACAATACTGGTAAATAGAGAAGCTAGAAAACGGGGCAGATGTTGAAAATAATGAAAGATCCAGGAAGAAAAGTGAAATGGATTTTATTCTAAATGGCGTAATTTGAAGCTTTTTCCAAAGTGTGAGAAATTCGCGAATTTTGACATTTATTTATAGAATGCTTGAATTTCTCGCAGTAATAATTTTTTAATGTGAGAAAAGAAAAAAATATGCGAGATTCTCGCGCTGTAGTGAAAACACTGATATTATTTTTGTATTATAGCTAATATTAGTAATAAGTTAATAATAATTAATTAGATAATACATATTTATATAAATGTATATCAGCAAGTAACAAACCATTGGACAAGTGATATGCTGTAAGCTATCGGGGATATTTCCGTATCGTGATCTGTCACGCCAACTACCAGGGTGCCAAATAGATTTCAAACTCTTGCAAATTTTAAAAAAGAAAAAAAAAACATATGGATGTTTGCCTGGGGATGGCTATGAGTTATATTGCTTGAGTTGATCCCTTTCTGTAATGCTTTTTTTAGTTACTCAAATTTAAAACAAAAGAACATGCGAGTAATATTTTTCAAGTTGGTCCGTACCTGTGATGCTTTTATGGATTTTGACTACTTAGCTAGTGGCCACCACAAATATTTGCGACATAAACATTTTGAATTGAGATTGTAAGAAGAAAACAAAGTGAAATGGTGTTTGTTTTTCGCTTTTTTATATTGATAGCAGAAATGAAAAAAAAATATTATTTTATTTTATTTATATTGAATGATACAGGGATCTGTTTAGAAGAAATTTTGTTCCATTAATGGACCCTTCACAAAATATTTTAACTTAGAAACGGACCCTTCACAAAATAATTTGCCTTTTAATCGGACCCTTCACAAATTTGTTTAACTTCATTATTGTATTGTTAATCGAATAAACCCTTCCCAAAAGGGGAGGGAAAGAAAGACGACAAACTAAGTAAACGAACTAAGTTTTGTCTTCAGCAGACGCTTCTTCCTTTATTCGTCCAAAATGAATATTCTGCATTCAGCAGTATAGGCTAAATAGGCAAATATTTGTCTGTTGCATCTCTAATTTAGTAGCAGCAAATGCTGTTTATCTTTTAAATTTTTTTTTTTAATTTTAATTTTTCAGTGTTGAGCATAATCTTGTATCTCTTTACAATTTAAAAACTCCTTGAAAAAGTTTTTTGCAATAACAGGACCTATTTTCACAAATTTATAAAAGCAGGACCGTGGTTGAAAGAATGTGACGTAACGTTTATTTTATATTCACAAATTACGAGTAGTTTTTTCACAATTTTTCAAAAATGAACCTTTCACAAAATGTCTGGATACACCCCTGGTAATATTACTCACTTAAACATGAAGAAAAAAAATTGTTGCAATAGCGGAAGGGTAGTAATTTTAAACTACTAGTTACAAACATACATTTTTGTGAATTTTGTATTAGCATTTTAAATGGGATCTTATAATATGTCGTACTTGCTTTATTGAATATTATAGAAGATTCATAATATTGCTCTATAACAGAAAAAATCAAGAAAAAAAGGTTATTTTTGAATGAGTTCTAATAAAGATTATTCTTTTTTATTTATTGGGCCGCATGTGTATTTAGACTTGTGCATGGCATATATGGTAAAACAATTTATATTGAATATTAGTGTATGAAAATTAAAAATTATTCACAAAATTTTTTTATCAATAAACTCCGTAGTATCTTTTCAGAAAATTAAATGCTTTTAATTATTACAATTCTTTCAAAAATGAAAAACTGATTTTTTCTTTCTTTTTTATATCATGTCTAATGTATATATATATATAGACACACCCACACATATATAAGAATTGGGGAACAGAAATTGATTCTTTTTATCATAGGTAATATAAATGTTCATTTTAAAATAAATTCTACAACAAAAAAAGCTGCAATGCAATTTCACAGAATTAAAGTATGAAAAAATAAATACATATTTTAATGAGCAACCCCATGGTAGAATTGCGGTGACATTGTTGCAGACTGTTAGAGTTTTTGCAGTAAGATTTTTCATTTGGGAAGGGAAAAATTTTGGCTTTCCTTTCTTCATAATTTCTCCAAAAAAATTTTTTTTCCTGTAGAATTTTTTTTTTCTAAGATGTCGTTTTTGCGTATGAGAGAGGAAAGAAATAATCATGATTTTTCTATTCTCATTTGAGATTTTTTGAAACTGTAATGACTGGCTTTAGCTAGAATTTCAAAATAATCTGAAGTAAAAAATTCAGAAATCGCGAAAGTTTAAAAGATTGTTCGCTTTAAAAATGATATTTTTTCGTTCATTTTTTTTTCTTTAAAGAACTCCATATTTTACATACACTTATTTGAGTATCTTTTTTTTTTTAAAAGAGTCCTGCTCGCATAATTCATGATCTTTATTTTGGGAGTAACTGCAAGGGTTTACGAATTTTAATTTCTTTGATAACTTTAATTTACTATCATTTACTTTGTTTATGAATTTCAATTTGTGTAATGATATACATAATTCGAAAGAGGAAATAATTAGTGCGTTTTTCTGCCGACAAAATGCGAGAATATCCATATAGCATTAAAATTAAAAATATATTACTTTTACAATTAAAATTTTTTATACATTTTTATTCTATACTTTCTTCTGTAAATACAATGTTTCTGTTGCTTTAAATTAATAATTGTTATAATTAAAAGTATCTTGAAGCAAAATATTAATGCTAGGTAAGTTTGTCGCAGAAAACCCGAGAAAATTCTGCCACAGGGATGAGTAATATAATTTAAAAATTTTAATTGTAGAAAATTTATGAGGTTTGACAAAAAATTAAAATAAAGCCATTACTGTGCAAAACTATATTCATTATTTCTTTGATAATAAAGCATTAGTTTTTATGAATGTTAAATAGTCAGCATTTTTTTTCCAAAAAAAAAAAAATCACTTAAGCAACAAAAAATTAAAAACAAAATTTCAAACAGTGAGCAGTTTCCCTCCACTTTTCGAATTTTTTTCACGTTGCTCAACATTTTATTAAAATTAATGATGTAAGAAATATTCAGTATTCGGTTGGATGAATGTTGAGCCAGATATTCCGCAAATAATTTTTTGAAAAAATATTTTTCAGCCAAGTTTATTTTTATAGATTTAGTGAAAAAAATTTATAATCGTATTTTTGACTCTAGATAATTAGAGATAGTATTTACACATATTTGATAAGTTCTAAAATTTCATGTGCTCTCGCACGGCTTGCAATTTTACCTTCAGGAAGACAAATGGAAAACAAAACTTGGAACTAGATTACTTTATGCTGAACCACAAAGTTTTTGTTCTTCTAAAAATGCTTATGGAGAACAGTGAAATACATAGAAATTTAATGATTTTTTTAACCCTTTCGCGACGCAAAGCGCGAAAGCGCGCTTACCGCTGAGGCCGGCAGTCTCTCTAGCGTGTGTCTCCCCAGGGCCGGAGGGTTTTTCGATGTTAAGCCTAATTCCATGAAATTACCGAAATATCAGCGCGTTGTTTAATATTGTTCTGTAGAGTATTTAAGTGACATATGCTTTATATATATTTCTATGGATACTTTATTTACTTAAGTTATTTCTTGTTTAAATGTAATATAAATATTAATAAGTTTAAATATTTTGCATAATTTCCTCTATTTCCAGCTCAGTTAAAAATTTTCGACGCTTCGACATTCTAACGGTAAAAAGAAAAAAAATTCAAGCCTACAAGATCTAATTATCCACTAAAAACTAATCCGAAAATCGAAAGTAGCGAGAGATAAAAAAAACTCCCTTACTTACTGTAAATAAATATCACGTGCTAATTTAAAGAGCCCTCATAAAACATTCCCCCCCTCCTCTCCTTCCCCTAAAAACCACGTGAATGTACTTTCATCTTGAGTAGAAGGTCAAATCTACATGTATCTGAAACCATATGGACATACAATGCCATCTTTTGGAAGAAATTTCATTTTTTAAAACGTTCCGAAACGCTGGCACAAATAAGTGACGGTCGGGGGTGAACGAGAAAACTCTCTGACACGCGGGTGTGTCGGCCGGGAAGTGAGCGCGTTTCTTGCTGTCACATATATGTGACAGTCGGCTCGAAAGGGTTAAAAAAAAATCATAAACTCTATTTTTTTTTTTTGCCATGTTTACTGATTTACTTTCAAAAGTGATAAATTAGTAGATAGCAATTGTTCTGAATGAGATCTCTTTTTTTAAAAAAAATCCTGAATTCTATACTGATTACTACTATACTGTTTACTGATTTACTTTCAAAAGTTATAAATTTGTAGACAGAAATTTTGCTGAATGGAATCTTTTTTTAAAAAAATATCATGAACTCTATTTTTGCTGTAATGTTTACTAATTTACTTTCAAAAGTGATAAATTTGCAGATGGGAATCGTGCTGAATGAAATTTTTTTTCTTTCAGAAATGATGGATGATGCATCATCATCAAAATCTGACGGGGAAGAAGAGTGGATGGACCTCAGCAAATCAGACTATGCCAAAGTTATATTCTCCAATCTCTACTGGAATTCCTTGTCGGGAGATGTCGGCTGCCTCTTCTCCCTGACCCAGACTGTGAGCAAAAATCCATCCGATTATATCGGCATCTATAAAGTGGGTTACGATAACTTATCCCAGTGCCTTGCCATGAAGAAGTTGAGTGAATTTGCATATGACACAAAACCAATACATTGTGGCTTTAAAGGTAAGTTATGATTCTGGTTTTGATTGCATGAAATTTGTTTTCATAATTTCTTTTTCTTTTTTTCGACTGAAAGCTGATTATGAACATTATAAGTTATGGGAGACAAAATTCTTCCTGATTTTAAGAATGATGCCTGTTAATGAATATAATGTATGCATTATTGAAATTTTATTGTGACATGGATATGTCTCAGCAATTCAATAAGAAGTCCCAAATTACGTAAATAATCTGCAGTAATAGGCTGAAATGGCTTTGCCATCCATGGAGAAGCCCTGAAAATAGCTGCATAAGAATCGTCACCTTTAGGAACTCAGAGGGGTTACGTGCCAGAGGCGGAGCCCCTACTAAATGGCTGAAGGACATCAAAAATGACCTGAAATCCTAAAGATTAGAAATTGGAAGGGAGTTGCCATGCATAGGAGGTGCTGGCATTTGTCAGCTGTTGAGGCAGCTAAGGCCTGAAAGGGGCTGTTGCGCTGATAAAGAAGAATATATGTCTCAGACTGCTTTGCTTGTGTGATATGTTACTCATTGTTATAGTGTCTGGGGCGTATGCTAAAAATTCCAACTTATGTTTATTTTTATTTGAATGGAGCATAAAGAAGTATTGTAGAAACTTATGTTTTAGGTTGTATTTGATTTAAAAAAAAAGTTATAACTATTTTATAGTGGGGTATTTTTTATTTAAAGAGTCACGATGTCTCAGTGGTTAAGGCACTGGGTCGTCATTGAACTGGGGCTCAATCCCTAGAGCCAGCTTGAAGCCCACCAAACTTCAGATCGATGGGTAGCTTGTCTGGGAAGTAAAGGCAGTCTGTGCGCAATGCCACAATCATGCTGTTGGACACGAAATTCTGGACCCTTATCCTGTATGATCCTTTTGGCCTACAATGGACTGTTGCGGGAATGCTTTACTTTTTTATTTCCTATTTAATTATCTATATTAATATCCCTCCCCACTCCTGAAAAAAAGATGCTTATAAAAATTTAACTATTTGAGAACAATTCTAACAAAGTAAATATTTGAAATCGTAATTAGAATTAAACCTATGAACGCAGATAATTTTACCAGTGTTTAATTATTATTTGAAAACAATGAATAATTTTTTTCCAAAATGTAATCTGGATAAAAAGGCACTATTTTTAAGGGATGGCAGCTTACTTTTACAGTAAGGGCAAAGAGGGCGCATTTATTTGTATCAAAAGGCAAGCAGGTCGGGCTGCCCTTCAAAAACTGCTTAGGGAGAACACTGTATATTTATGTATGCATGAATGCACGGAAAGCGAGAGAGGGAGCCTCCCTCACTTTTAAGACACTTCCTCTGTTAATGGGTAGAAATTCTTTCTCTTTTTAAGTGTAAATATATTTTCTTCTTTTTTAGCTGAAGAACTGCCTGAATTGAATGGTTTTTATCAATTTTTATACGTCACCCACGAGAAGGAAGTGTGTGGTGCCAGCATGCCTTTTGAAGTGAAGCAGAAGAAAGAGGACGATGAGGTCGTCACCGAACGGATCGAGAATGACTTTCTGATAGTGCGTTACGGGTTGGAGCAAAAAAATCAAAAGCTAAATACTCTGTTAAAGACATATGAGGCAGAAAATGTAGTACTAGTGGCCAAAATAAGGGAACTGAGGGGTGAAAAGGGTGCTTTAACTCAAAAGCTGGAAGAAACTGAACCACTCCTGAATTCTGCAACGCAGGAATTAGAACAGTTGAAAGACGAACATTTGGCTTTGGCCAAAGAACTGGAATTTACGAGAGATAAGGAAGCAAAGATTTTAAGTATTCTTGATGCTACTGAAAAGGACTTTGATCGAGAGGTGAAGAAGGCAGAGGTACTGTTGCAGCTTAAGAGAGATGTAGAATCCATGTATGAAAATGCTGTGGCTGAGAATAAGGCCATTTCTTTGGAATTCGAAGAGAAGGTGAAGGAAAAGGAAGTTTTAATTGCTGAATCAAATAAAATAATTGAAGAATTAAGTGAAGAGGTCAAATTCAAGCAAATATTTATTGAGAAGATCATACAAGAAAGTTTTGACTTGACTAAAGCTCGGGATGTGACTCTCGAGGAATATAAGAAAAGAGTCGATCAGCTCACTCTTCAAGTAGAAAAGTTGACATTAGAACGAGCGTCAAAAGAAAAATTGCTAAAGGTAGGATGTGGTTTTAATTGTTTTTTTATTTAGCTAAAAATTTGTAGTTAAGGTTAAAATATAAGATGTCTAATCATTCATCTCAGTTTTAGTGATAATTATTGCCTGTTACAAACTTTTTCCTTTCAGCAAAAAAATACAATATCTTGGATGGCAGAAACTCCTAGCTCGGCTTACAATTTTGCCTTTATTTGCTAATGGGAATCGGTATTATTTCAACTAAACATGAATCTGCAATTTTCAAATATTTGCGTGGAACTGGCTTACCACAAAAATATCTATATTAAATGGTGTAAAAAGCCTATTTTTTCCAGGACGGTGGAAGAAAGCCGAAAAAATTGAACAAAATGGGAGAAACTAAAAATGACCGATGCAATTGTTTAACAATGAGTATGATAATAATAACTCAAATTTCAAAAAATTAAACTTAATATAGTAATATAAATTTTAAAGTTCATCATGTAATTTTTTTTAGAAAAGAAAAAAATATTTAATTATTTTTTAGTTTTATGAAGAATTTTAAAATCTTATATATCATACTATTTAAGTATTCATACTTAACATTATTTGAATATGGAAATTAGTATGCTCTTTGTAATTGAGAATGTGTTTTTAGTAGTATCTATGTTTAGTATGTGACATAATAATTCAGTGGTATTAATGAAATTTGATTATGTGATTTTAATAGTTCTTTATATAATTATAAAATTATGTATTACTCTTTTAACATAAAATGATAAAAAAAAAAACTAGTTATTTTCATTTTTTTAAGAAATGTTTCAGTCATTTTTTCTGTTTTTTAGTTTTTACTTATTTAAAAAAACTGATACAAAAACATGGCACATAAAATTAATACTAATAAATATTTAAACTAGATTGCAATTATAAAATGCTTAAATATTTGATATTTCTTTTTGAGAAAGAGTTCAGCTGGAAAAAACCTACTTCTTGTGAGGTGGTCTAAGATTGAGTCAATGTCCCTTAAAAATACTTAAAATAAAATAAACGTCCCATTTTCTGTAGTTTTTAAAATTACTTTAATTATTGAAAGAGTTCAAGTTTCTCAAAGTTTATATTTTAATACTTGTTAAATACATTATGTTTGCTGTAATCAAAAGTATAAATAGAAGTGAGGTACTTTCATAATTTTATTTTTCCAGTTAAATTTTAGAATTATTTTCTGTCAGTGTAAATAAATTTATATAGTATATATGCAATATGTTTATATTCATTATTGTAATTTTCAAATTAAATTTTTCGTAATACATTAAAAATAACTGTGAAAGAAAAATTTTGAATTCTCTAAAAAAAAATTTCAACTATTTTTTTCTTAATTACTTAATGCTGCAATATGTCAATAAGAATGTTGTAAACTTGAAAGCTCCGTCATGCTAAATTAAACAATAATAATGTAATTTATTCTTTATTTTTCATTAATTTGGTACTAAAACATATAATTACTATTGTGTATATTTTTATTTATGCAGTCCACTTTTCTTTTTCATTTCTTTTCATCATTCAAAGAATTTTAAATGTTTTTAATAAAAAATTTATTGCCTTGAATATTTCACTCTCATTTATATTATAGTTTGTATTGATTCAATAAATGGAAAGCAAAGGTATATCTGAGAACAATTAATTGATATTAATACTACAAATTGTTTACTGTTAAATAAGAACATTAATGAAAATAATTCTGTATAATGCCATTATACATTTCTTTATATGCTAACAATCTAGGAGATAAACTAACTTTTACATCTATGCACTACTAAAAAAGAAAAAGAAAAAAAATAGATATTAAATGTTTGTTATGTGTAGTTTATAAGTTGCTATAAATATTCATGATCTTTTGTTTTTATATTATTTTTATCATGTTCATTTATTTCTGAGCAAAAGTGAATATTTCTATGTTCTTTATCAAAATATAAATTAATAGATTTCTTGCTTGTGGTATTAAATGCAGGGTATCCGCGCCCCTGGAAAGTCATGAAAAATCATGGAAAGTCATGGATATCGGTATTGAACAAAATTTTTCATAAAATGTCATGATTTTAACTATTTTTTAAAAAATATCATGAAAAGTCATGGATTTAGGTCGCCGAAAAATCTAATTTCTAAAATGGAATTTACCCCCCCCCCTAAATTTCATGCTGTTCCGAATATCTGAATTTGTAACAAAATCCCCACTCACAGTCATATTTGATTAAAATATAAAATGTTTTTATCATGTTCTTTAAAAATTATGGTGTTCTTTCAAAAAATGGAAGAAAAAACATAATTTCTGGAGCCAATTATCTTTTAAACTTCTGTGATTTCAGAATTTTTGTTATTATTTTTATTTTATCAATTAAAAATTCTAACTGAAGCAAGCCAGTCATTGACAAATTTTTTTATTCCGAAATGAGAACAGAAAAATAAGAAGTATTTATTTTCTTTCCAATGAACAAGAAAAGAAAATTATTTGCTTTTGCATTTTTTTTCCAGTTATTTTATTGCTTCAACTCTTTCTTTACTCTGTTTCTTAAATTTAAAATCTATAAGTATGAAGATGCAGAGTATAACAGTTTTTGGTTATACCCATCATATCAATAAATGTTATTATAATGCTTTTTTAAACTTATTGTTGTGGTTTTTGTCGGAGAAAATAGTAATTTCGTTAAGTCATAAAAAATTCTTGGAATTAGTCATGGAAAGTCATGAATTTGAAAATCTAAAGTGTATCAGATACCCTGTAAATGCTTGTGGTATTAAATTAGAAATAAAATTTTCTTAAAATGCTTTTTAATGATTTAATTACTTTTAATTTGGGGCGTAGTATGTCATTTAACCATTTGTTGTAAATCAGGGGTGTCAAACTCAAAAGCTAACTTGGGCCAAATAAACAATGCTTAACTTTAGGTGGGCCGCAAAAAAAATCAATGTTCATAGAAAACAAATATTTTTATTTTGAATTATAATAAACATGTTTAAAGTTAAATTATTGTTTACGTCCTGATACTTGAAATCTCTTCTCTGCTGCTATCTTTTCTATTTCGGGAGAAATTTTATTGGCCGAAACTACTTTCAAAATTGACCCAACGTGAGCGTAATTAATATGGTTTCAGATAGGATATTTATTTCCATTCATAACAGAAAATAGTTGCTCTCACTGATAAGTACTTTCAAACATGAAAATAATTTCATATGTGAATTTTTGAGTATTTTCAAGCCTTGCCGGTAAATATTCGTAAAATTCAGGCACACCCACTTCAATAACTTTTGCCTTCAAATTTGAGTCGCACTTAATCTCAATCACTTCCATTTGCATGTAACTGGGTACTGAGTCTATATTTTATGAGAAAATCGAAGAAAGCAAACAAAATTTGTCTTCCAAGGAATTAAAATCTTTAAACCTTGTTTGAAATTCTGTTCCAAGATTTGAAATTTTTGATGCCATGCAGTATTATCTAAACTAGATTTGTTCTTGTTGCACGTTGGGAAGTGCGTTAAACTTTCATTTTTCAGTTGCCTTTCCCAAAGAAATAGTTTACATTTGAATGCTTTAATTATGTCAAACATGTTCTTAATGATCTGATCCTTGCCTTGTAACAATAAATTTAAATCGGATAAGTGTTTGGTTAGATCAGTCATAAAAGATAAATCTTGCAACCATATTTGATCGGAGAACAAGCTTGCATCTTGATTTTTAGCTTGTAAAAACTTACGTATTTCTTCTTTCAAATCCCAGAATTGTTTGAGAACCTTGGAGCAAGATAACCAACGTATCTCGCTATAGTAGGATAAACCTGAATATGTACTATCTAATTGATAACTTAGTGTGAAATGGACTCCCTTTCAGCCAATTAGAATTTTATATTTTCGTGCGTACGGTTTAATATAGTTTATAAATAAAGTTTATTATAATTTTATATTCTGGTTTCGTTTCTAATTCACATTTCTATTTTATTTTTACTTTGCTTCGGATACATTGACTGGGCCACAAAAATGTTCATCTCGGGCCGCGAGTTTGACACCCCTGTTGTAAATTAATCACAAANATATAGATTAAATATTTATTTATTTTTTGATGAATGACTACATTTATAAACACAGTCTGCTACATTTATTTTGTCATTTTAAAAATCAAGAGAAAAGAAAAGAAATCACAATTTTAAATTAAAGTTATGGTTTGCTAACTGAAACTTTTTTAATAGTTAAAGTACAGGGGTCTGTCCAAGCCAAATTTACTACTGTTTATCTAATTGATAACTTAGTGCGAAATGGACTCCCTTTCAGCCAATTAGAATTTTATATTTTCGCGCGTACGATTTAATATAGTTTATAAATAAAGTTTATTATAATTTTATATGCTTTCGTTTCTAATTCACATTTCTATTTTATATTTACTTTGCTTCGGATACATTGACTGGGCCACAAAAATGTTCATCTCGGGCCGCGAGTTTGACACCCCTGTTGTAAATGAACCACAAAAAAAACAGCTATTTAAACCAAGAAAAATCTGGTTTATGTTTTTTTTTCCTTTTTGAGGAATATTAAAACATATTTTTTTTACAATCCTGTTTTAATTTAGGACCAGTGGAGCAGAGATAAAGAAGAGAAATACAACTTAATGGAAATTGATTTACAGAATGCTCTCTCTCAAAAGCATGCTTTAGAAAAAGAGGCAACACAATTAAGGAAATATTTAAAAGTAAAGTATCATTTCATATTTAACACTAGAATTTATTGATAAACTAAACAGAAAAAGGCCAGGCAAAGAAAGTGCAATAACACATAAAAAAAATAAATAATAATAATAATATGTTTATATACCAAGTTATATTTACAAGATTACAATTTTGGTTAGATAAACAATCAGGCCTCCTAAAAAGTAAGCACAATAAAAGCTTGCTGTAACAAGTACAGCCTTTTATGAGAATTCCCTTTTTATTTCACGTTTTAATGTCAAATGTTCAGTTATAAAAATTATATGTTTACACAAAGTTTAAAGTTACTAGCCTTTCATATTTGTTGCAAATTTTTTCAGCTAAATGCATTTTTTTGCTGTTTAAGTGAGCATTATTATTTGAAAAAGGGATACATATTTAAAGAAATTAAAAACAACTTAAAAATATAAATAATGCTTCATAAAAAGTTCTTGTTCAAATACTAAAATCTTGAAAAATAATAAATAATTTATAAATAGATTCAAATTTTATTTTTAAAGAAGGTGAAAACAAAAGGAAAAGCAATCTTTGCTTTTTGGGCAGAAATCAACTAAAAACAAATCTGTTGCCTAAAAATTGCAGTTTTTATTTCATTTTTTTTAATTCTCTCAGTTTGGATGCTTAGCAACGGAGTATTTGTCCCTTGTCGATTACGCAGTTAGAGTAGAGTTATATTAAATTTCTCCTCCTTCTATGGCAATATTTCTTGGCCTCTTTTTGGGATGATGCCAGATATATATAAAACTTTCTATCATCCTAATTTTTTATCCAATTTTTCTGAAATTTTGTCTATCGCCCCTCTATTTTGTGGGTCAGGTGTTCAAATATGTAAAAAATATATGTTTATTCAATAAAAGTGCGTTTTTGTGTCTAATTTCATAACTTAATTAATAGTAAGCACTAATTATTTAGTACATTTGAAGTCACCCTCAGAAACCATTAAGATTGACACTTAGTATGTGAAAATCCGATCATTCAATTATCTTTTTTTCTTCTCTATTTTTAAAAAAAATTTTGTTCAATGTACCGATTATTGCAGCACCTACATCCCATAAATTCCTCTTAGAATAAATTGGTTTGACAATTTTTTAGCCCTCGAATATTTAAGTACCTCTATTCTGATTTAGTTATGTATTTTAAGTACAGACAATGAACGTAAAATTAAGATACTTATTTTATAACCGTCGTTGAACAGCTGACCCAATTTTTGGGTTTACGACTACTAACGTTCTACTCCGTATCCTTTTAATTTTGAACCCAATCCAAAAGACTAGGTGACTCCTAGATCAAGTATTAGGAGAAATTTGCCTTAGTTTAGGACTTTTTGATGGAACTAACCCTCAGTTGCATTACATGGAGAGGAAGACCAGGAGAACCTCCCATGATTAGCCTGACGGCAAGGAAACTCTAACCCATGTACTGTCAATCACTGAAGATATTTTACTTCAGTCGGATGCGGAATTCGTTTCGACCATCCATCGATGAGATTCGAACTCTGCTCACCTCATTGGAAGGCGAATGATCTATCCCCTGAGCCATCGTGGCTCTTAAGATACTTATTGCTCTTTTTTAAATTGATGTATTTCTATTTATAGAATCCTGAAGAATACATGAGACAACCCACTCTAATGTTTAATCATATGATGCCAGCAGGTGAGAAGGTAACTGATGAATATTTAATGGAGCAACTTAACGATGCAAAATTTATGATTAAAGCTCTTGAAGATAGTAAGCAACTTGCAATGAAAGAAATGCACGAGTTGTCTGAAAAGTTAAAAAAGGTTAATGTTTCAAAATTTTTTCCCTCGTATAAGATACTGTACTATATTTATGCCAGCTTTAAAATACTGTTAAGAAAAAAATTAGTATGTAATTAATATACATTTCTTTAACAACAACCTAATAGTTTCTTACTCCTAATATTTGTGACATCTTTTCCTATCCAAGTTTGATGAATTGAATAGGATAAATCATATTTTGGATAGTTTTCAAAATTTATTTTTAAATCAAATGTATTATAATTTATTTCACTAAAAGTGAATGTAATTTATTTTTAGTAAAATTATACACGGAATTAATATTTCAAGTTTTCTTACATTTCATATAAAAAAAATTATTTACATTTCACTATCTATTGAATTTATGTAATTAATAACTAAAAAGTGAAAGGAATTTTAGGTACTTTTGTATTATAAGATCCCTGATAGAGAATTACTTTAATCGGCGGGGGGAGTTCTTACAGTAGACAAACTATAGATTGTTTTACTATGTTTTTTGAAAAAATTTTTATTATGTAATTTGATAAAATACATTGCTATTCTGTTATAGTACAGTAGGGAACCGATTATCCGGAACGATCGGGACCATCGATATTCCGGATAACTGATTTTTCCGGTTTTCTGAATCGCTACAAAAAGCCGTTTTTCTTACAGCTGAACCCAACTAAAAAAAAAAATTTTAATAATCTTGAAAAGAAGAAAAAACGATAAAGTAATACACTAATGATTATTTCCAAAATGATGGTAAGGTAAACATCTTTCAAAAAAGAACGAAAAATTTTATGAGGAAAAAAAAATTTTAAAAATGGCGGGAAAACTAATCAAATTTCGTTCCGGTTTTTTGGTTTTCCGGTTTTCTGATTTCCGGATAACGGGTTCTGTACTGTAATAACTTTGCAGTTTCTTTCATTAATCATATAAATTTGTAAACTTCTGATGTATTTTAATGCAACATACTTTATGCAATAAGCATAACTTACTATTAATGAACTTATAACGCAAATTGTTTTTTCTAAATTATAAGATTGTTTAGTTTTTTCTTCTATGCCTTTCTTTTAAAAAATAAAAGCTATATGACTTTGATTCCAAATTGATGCCAGACTCAATTATAGACTTATTTGCAAAAATACAGTTTAAATTTAATCATTTATTTATTTTACAGACTAAAGAGGAATTGAGCCAAATGAGATGTGAAAATATGGCTTTGAAAATTTTCTTAGAAGAGAAATCAAGCTCTGTTGTAANGACCACCGAAGCCGACGTCTTCAGGGGGTACCGGCCCCGGTAGCCATTAAAAACAAAACCATTTCTATTTGAGGGAGAAGCAAAAGCTTAAAATATCTCCCTCAGTACCCCAATGGTTTTGTATAGAGGTCCAGGAAAAACAAGATACATTCAAAATAATAAACAAATAAACAAATTACGAAAAGAAAATCAATCAAAATCCAGAAAATCCATCGGGGTACTGAGGGAGATATTTTAAGCTTTTGCTTCTTCCTCAAATAGAAATGGTTTTGTTTTTAATGGCTACCGAGGCCGGTACCCCCTGAAGACGTCGGCTTCGGTGGTCATATTTTTATTTTATTTCATTTGTTTCTTGTATATCCTAACCATGTGATTTAAACCAGATTTAATATGATAAGTGAGATAATTGGATTGTAAGCAATGTCACATGTGTGTGTGTTAAACCAGATTGACTTCTGAATCAACAAATGCTGCATTTTACCTACGACTTCGTCGCTTGTAGATATCCAATTAGATCAGAGAAAATATCTTGTGATAATGTTTAGAAATTCTGAGTATTTTCTTGAAAACATTTAAAGGTATAGAATTGTGCGAATAGATTATTTAAATTGCTGCATGCCGAACGTGTATTATTCTCTCGTACTACTTTTCCGATCAATGTTAAATATCTGGAAAAACAATTTTGGGGTGGTGAGTGTTTGAGATAACAAGTTCTGAACCAAATATGCACTAAAAAGTAAAAAAGATAAATTCTTAAATAGTATTCTAAAATGTAGAGTCTTGGAACATCAGAATAAGTAATAATAAATATGTCTGTATAATAGTTGACATTAAGTCTAAAAATGCAGCAGTAATAATTTTAGTTTTAAAAACAACACAAAAATAATTATGCATTAAATATAAAAGAATTTGTTTATAAAAAACTTACGTAAATAGAGTTTATTTAAAAAAAAATCAACCATCGAGGCCTGTCGAGATATTGTTTTCAAAACTGCTCATCGATCAACTTTTCTATTCGAAAAATAGCTGCCAAGTCATTGTTTTCCATGTTCTCAGAGAATTTCATGAAATGTTTTAATATGTGGGCAGTATTATTTCTTAGGCCACAATACTGTTGAGTGGTTGTACGCGGTGACTTTTCTGAAAAGAAAATTTTTTTTTTATTTCGAAAATTATTAGAAATAACAAGGTTTTGACAAGAAACTCTTCGACATAGGAATTCAAATTAATATTAGGTGGATATTATTGTATTATTATATTAGGTATAAACAGAAAAGTGAGCTATCACTTTCCTAAATTGTTGTGTTTCTACTATTTTAACCCCTCCCCTTCAAGTCAATCAGGGAGAAAGAAAATACTCCAGATATTCCTTTTGATTTTTTTTTCTTTGAAAGTCTAAGCCCTTAAAACAATTTCCAGCATTGCCCTGATATTACTTTCATTTTCAACTACTCAGTTGTTGGGCTGAAATTTTTTTTTTTTTTTTTTTTTTGTTCCCTCTTACTTAAGTTTGAGCTGTACACTATATTTTTGGCCCAATTATATTTTATTTATCAAACAATGCTTTTTATCAACAGGGAAAAGCAGAATTAAGCCTATTAAGATGTGAGAATATGGCTTTGAAAATTTTCTTAGAAGAGAAGGAAAGCTGTGAGGTATATATTTTTTCTTTCGAATTTTTTTTAAAGTTTATTCTAAGTTTTAGTTTTTAAACTGAATTGAAAATTCACTTTATTTTTTTAAAATGTTGCATAAAAACATAATTTTATTCTACCCGAGTAGCCTTTTCTCTTGTCTAAATATATGCAGGGTATTCTATGGCCACGGAAAAATCTTAATGCAATTTACTATAATATGCATTTTTTAAGAAAGTGATCATGAAAAGAAAAACATTATTTACATTGCCCTGTTACGGTTGGGTATAAAAAATGAAAAATTTAATATATATAAAAATAACAACTGAACTTTGAAGAAATATGGCCGAATTATAAAAAGACAATTAATACAATTACGCAAAGTGTCCGAATCTAAAAGAAAAACAGGAAAAAAAAACAAGTATTTACCTGAAGTTATCTTCTAGAAAATCTAGATGAATAAATCACTCAAAAAAAAGATAGTCACTTTATGAAAAACCAATAGTTCTTTTTATTAGGTGGATCCATGTTGAGAGACAGGAAAACAGTGTCCAATGGTGGAGTAGTGGGTGAAGGGCAGGAGATTCAGTGCAAAGGAAATTTTTAGATGAGATTCATACGACTGTTGGTTGGTGATGGATCATTTTAGTAGTTACTGGAAACACCGGTCTTTCCGCACAAAAAAATCGGTTGGAGCATTTCCCAGAATTTCGGATTCTTCTCGGCTTTGATTTTTTGAAAAGTTAAAAGCAGCATTACGACAAGCTAGAACTGGCTGTGAAGGAGCCCATCAATGGTGGTGTTTGGGTAGCGGATCAGATTAAAAGCAGGTGATATCCCGAGCATAAAGCTAGAAAATGACTGTGAAGGAGTCCATCACTGGCGGTGGCTGGTCAGCGGATCATCTTAAAAGGCAGGAGATTCATCAGGAAATTACTTAGTAGACATTAATCAGAGTAAAAGAAAAGGACAGCAGATTGACTTGCCAACATGGCGGTAGACGTGACGCCATCCTAAAAAAATGTTCTCTTCCTCTATAAAAAAGAGGAAGGGGGAAAAAAACGTACTGCCAGGGAGCAGCGTGACGTTGGGGTGATGAAGAATTTCGAATGCACCGGTCATTTTTCGCGCGCTCTTTTTATAAGAGACAAAAACTTAAAAGTTGAAGTTGTAGTACATGTTGTGCAAGTTAAAGTTAAATTATCTAAAAATTACGAGTTGAGACGAAAAATTGATTATACGTTAAAAGTTACGGTTGAGAAACACAACATACACGCGGAGATGAAAGATGCCGACAACCAGTGCGAATTCTCAGAAACGAAAAGGGTGGAATGTTCTAGAAAAAAAGGGGTTCTGCAAGGAGCTGGTGAGGAATTTTAGGGGGAGAATGTCCAAATTGCGCTAACGCTTAAGGGGCTAAAGAAAGATGATGAAATAAAAAAATGTATTACAAAATTATAAATTAAGTCGAAAGAATTAGTATTTTGATTAAAAAAAAAACAGGATATTTAGAAAATTAGGCTGTGACCTAATGTCACATACATAAATATTAATAGGTGTAGCGTTAAAAGGGCAAGATTTACGACTGAAAATATGCATATTTTCAGCTGTAATGATTAGTCTATCAACCGGTGTTCTTACTCGCTTTATATATATATATATATAACTAACACTAGCAATTTGGCTCATATGACAAAAAAACAGGAGACAAATGAAAAATGTCATCAAAATTATTTCTCTTCAACTACCCTAAAGATGCTGATCAGCTGTTGGTTTGAGAAACAACAAAACTAGTTCTGAAAAAAAAATTTTAAAATCATATAATAAGTAAAATTGAAATATATATAATTTTTTAAGTAATTTTTTACCCTTTTTTGTGGCCCACATTTCAACTGCCCATTTCAAAATAGTACATATCTCCAGAGGGCCCGTCCCACAGTGGACTGATCGTTAAGCAGATCACCGAAGTCAAGCATCACTGACTACGGTCAGTCTGCAGGTGGGTGACCATCTGGCTGGCTGATCAATTAAAACAAGTTTACATTTGAAACAAGTTGCAGCTTGGTAAAATCTCCCTTGGTAAAATCTCCCATCGGGAGCACAATTGCAAACGAGTTTTCTCTGCATATGCTTCAGGTTCACTACTGGCCTAACATTTCTTGCCTTGCATAGTTACCTTAATTGTGTTGTTGTAGGCCATTAAGTCAAGGGGTGCCACCTATGGCTAAGAATTCGACTTCTGCCACACCCATGCGTCACAACTGTTTATAGGGCAGTTACACTCATATATCTATTCATTTATCCTCAGATCGTAATTTTGACCTGAATCGGGAAACAATCAATCTCCAATTCAGTACCCACAGAGATATAATTTGTTATGGGAACAACATGGAGGACTTTGACTTGAGAGACTTAACATGCACCAGTCACCATTTGCTACCTGGGGAGTCTTTGGCTGGCTGGGATCGAACTCTCGTTCTCATGAACGTGAGACCAGCGTCATGCGAACCAGGCTATCCTGGCTTCTAAGTTGTGTTGTTGTGACCATGTATTTTAAACTTGCTGCATGAAAGAACTTTGCAATGATATTGCGAGCAAACAATGTTTTTCTTTCCATGTCTTATTTTTTGTGTTTGTATCTTAGTATGGTTGTGTAGAAAAGCATATTTAAGTGTAATCTGTTAACAGTTAAAGGATTCAATAGCAGAAATAATTGCAAATATTTTTTAATCTTACTAATACTTTTTGTATATTGCATTTTAGAAACTACCTATTTTACTAGATTTTGCTAGTTTCCCATTTCACTTGATTTAAAAACTATTTAATAATTTTTCTTTATTTTAGAAAATTTTCTAAAATTGCAACATTTATGTGCATTAAAATAGGTTTTTTTTAAATAACCTTATCGCTTGCTGAAGAATTAAAGTAATACTTCTAATTAATGAAATTACAGAAATAAATTTTCATTTTAGTGAATTTTCACTGAAATTAAAATTTATTTATTTTAAACTCTATTTTAAACTTTATTTATTTTCAATTTATTTATTTATTTATTGTTATATTAAAATTTATTTATTTTAGTAATTAAATAGTGACCTCAGACTAAATTTTTTAAACATAGAGCCTGACATTACTGTTCTGATTTCAGAAAAAAAAAACTGCACTAATTTTAATTAGTATGTAAAAATTCTTTATGGAAAACACTATAACAATACATATTTTAAACTTTGTTGTTACCTTAAATTTACTTTTAATGTCCAATTTCCTCAAATGTGCAAGATTAGTTTGAGAAAAAAAATTTATTTATGTCTATATTTCTTACCTATGAAACAATTGAAATGAGGTTTAAAGAATAACTTAGGATGAGGGTTTTGCAAAAATAATGTCCTTCAATGTTCACTAGTTTTTATTCATTTATTTGTTTCATTACCTCACTGAATTTTGCCTGCCATGAGTTTTTAAAACTTAATATATTTTTCCTCTCCAGACTGGTGGAAGTACAGGTGATCACAAACAAGAGATTCCAATTAATAATGTCCTCAAGGTGAGTATTGTTGCATAATCATAATTTTTTTTAATGTTGGTTTACTGTCTATCAATATTATTTCTGTAAAGTAGTAGTAATATAAAACAGAATAGAGTATTAATAAGTTAATATAATTTTTGTGCTGTATTTAAAAATTGCAATTTCATTTTCCCCTTTTCGTTTACTTAAAAAATGTTATTTTTTTCATTCAGTTTTCTATATTGAAGGTATATTTATGTAATGTATAATGTTTCTTTTTCAAAACTTATTCTTTAGAATTTAAATGAAGGCAATTTTTTTGGGTTATTAGCAGAAGTTTTTAGAAATTGCCTACTGTTTTATCTTTTTGAATTATTGCTTTGAGTAATCGGTGAAAACTATAGGAATTTAGTTCCTATCTTTAAATGTGAACCCCGATTTTGAAATTACCAAAGAAAAGTGATTATGTCTTGTTAAATATTATTATATTTATTCTTATTTTTCCAGAATTTGTTATTGATGTTGAAAGATCCCACTGCAGACCTGGATATTATAGAGGAGAAACTTAAAGAATCAGTCATAAATGTACAACATGAAGAGATTAAAAAAGTATATTTATTTATATCTTACCTGATCTTGAACCTCCTGTTTATCAGAATTTACTTTTCTTTTTCTATAAAGATTCTGATATTTGTCATTCAAAATCTCATAGCTGCCAACATGGATAGGAAAAAATCCAGTAGATTTTACAAAATAATATAAATTTCATGATAAATGTTGCATAATGTAATAAATATTTTACACATAGGGATTTTTATACTTATCAAATTAGAAAAACTGCAATTTTTTCCAGTTATGATTGATTTTAAGCAGAAAAAAAATTTTGAGCTGATTTCTATAAATGAGGTTTGCGTCATTATGTATTAGTAATACTTATTTTAATATTCAAGCAATAATCTGTTCAAAAAATTCTATTTCAATAGGGATTTTTTTTTGAAACTTACTCAATTTTAGGGAATTTTCTAACATGTAAAAAAACCAGGAGAATTTTAATTAAACCAGTAGACCAGGAGAAACTGGCAAAATCCAGTAGAGTTGGCAGCAGTATTTTACCNCAAATTTTCATAGGCACTTCATAACTTGACTGTTAAGTAGCAAATTAAGTAGCAATTATGGTGGAAAAGTAACTTCTTTTAATCTTTATATTTTATTTGCCACTTCAGAAGATTCATAGTTTTAAACAATAAAAGATATGCTATACAGGAACATGCTTATTACATGTTTTAATTGTCACTTTTGATTTGAATTTTTTTTTATAAGCTTAATTTAAACAAATGACTCTCCTGGACTTGCGTGTATTCTTATCGACGTGTGTCTTTCAGTATTTACACTCTGCATATTAGAAGGATGTAAACAATCCTGAACAAGGTTGCTATTTGGCGATCGTATGACAAAAATATTTATTTCGCAATCTTTGTGTGCATCTTTTTTAACATTAAATATTTTATAAGATGATGTTTCTCTCTTTTGAGTGAATAGTTTGTCCTTTATGAGACTTGGCAGATGATAAAGCGAAGTAAGTGACTGAAAAATAATTCACTGTGTGCATTTGGCACACATTAACGGTTGTCTCATTTTCTAGCTTGGAGACGTTTTCTCTTCTTACTCCCGCACTGAAATGAACTGTGCGTCCGAGGAGGTGGAGCAAAGTGCTCCTGGTGAACGAACTATACAATATATTGCATTAAATATATTGAAATGTATATTGATTCAATGAATTAAAGAACAAGAAATGCACACTTCATAAAACTTAATACTAATTACATCAATTTAGTTATTACTAAATGAAAATTTAAGTGTCAAGTGTTTATTTGCATGTTAAGTGGAATTTTTAGGTAATGTAAAAATACATTTAAAATATTCAGTGCTTTTTTTTCTTCTTATTTTTGTAATTATGCTAGCAGATTTGATGAACAAAAGTCGATATTTTTGAATTGTTGTTGAAAATATTAATTAAAAAGTTATATAAAATTACAAAATACTTTGTAATGGTTTAGTTTAAGGGCATTAAATATTATTTGATTATTGTTTTAAAGAAACAAAAACAAAAAACCAGTTTAAACCAACAAAAAAAAAACTTTTTTTTCCTAACCCTGAACTAATGTAACATTTTATTATGGATGGCCTTGAAAATTGAAATGAATTTGAAATCAAAATAAATAATATGTTCTATATATCTATATATATTTTACTCCATTATATATTTTTCATTTACGATTTATTTTATCTATTCAGCTTAAAGAAGAATGCAAAAGGAAGGATGCGGAAATAGAGTCATTGAATGAAAAGCTAGTGAGTTATTTATTACTAAATCAAATTTTAATTTTGAGTGGTTTCATTTGCTATTTTGACGTATTGTATCCTTACGAATTAATACGATGCAATGCAGTAAAACTTGTTAAGTTGACCACCTGTATAAATTGAAACAAATGATCAAGTATAAAACTAGGTTAGAATGTGTAATCTTTAGATTTAATGCAGTAAAAATAGAAGTCAGAAAAAGTGTGCAATGAATATGCCATTCTTCTAATGATATCTACATGTGATGTGTAGCTCGGAAAAAAAAAACGGACCACACTGAGTAACTTTTGATCTAATGATCAAATCTTCACGTTCTGTGACGATTTGATCATTAGATCAAATCGTCACAGAAAGTGAGAGAAATCTGAATCTTAATACTTGAAGGGGTTAACTCAAATATGCTAATAAATTAGTGCAGACGATATTTTAAGTTTCTAAATCAGACACAAAAACATACTTTCTCTGAATAAACATACCTTTTTTTTGACAGATTCAGATCACTGAGCCCCTAATGTAGAGGAGAGCACTACAAAGTTAGGTGCCTTTAATGTTAGTTTCACTTTTTGCGTATTTCACCATGTCTCGAGAACTTTTTAAGCAAATTGAAAAATTTTTATACACAATTTTGAAATTTTTTATACACAATCGTTAATTAAAAAATAATTCCATGGAAAGAATAACGTTTAGCAAATATTTATTATTCTATTTAGGAGTGGTCAAAAAAGTTTTGAATTGTAAGGTATGCAATTTTTTGCATAATTTTAAGGAATGTAATTTTAAATAGCAAAATACAAAACTTTAACGAAGTCTGTGGAATAGATCCCGAGAAATCGAATCTGAGTATCTAACTTTTTTGAAATTCAATTTCTCAGGAACTATTTGACTGATTAAGCTCAAATTTTTTAATTTGCTATATAAAATAATAAATTACATTCTTTAATAAATAATAATTATAATAATAATAATATAAAAATAATAATTTACATTCTTTAAAATTATGCAAAAATTTTTACCCCTTACTATTCAAAAAATTTTCGACTGTACTTTTATAAAATAATAAATATTTACTAAAATTTTTTTTTACAATTTTATGATTGTGTCCAAAAATGTTCCGATTCGCTTTCAAATTTCTCAAGATATAGCAAAATACGCAAAAAGTAAATTGAGCATTAAGGGGTCCAAACTTTGGATTACTCACCTAACCTAACTATAGGGACCATATTCCCCAGATTGCAGCTACCCCCTATATTTTGGGAGGTCCGAAGTCCCAATTCGTCGAAAGAAAAGGTATGCTAATTATGAGAAAGTACGTTTTTGTGTCTGATTTCATGTCTTAAAATATCGTCTTCACTAATTAATTAGCATATTCGAGATCACCCCTTCGAATTATTAAGAATAAGTCCTAGAATGTGAAGATCCGATTAGATCAAAAGTTATTCTGGGTAGTCCTTTTTTTGGCATGCTAATGCTAAAATACTAAGGTGTAGCACATGTGTGTAGAAACCTTTTCAATTATAAAGTTGTTTTTATCTTCACTTCAAATGCCCTATATTCAACAATAGCTATTTTCACTTTTGGGAATAAAGTCGGTAAAAATCACACCTTTCTTAAAATCAGCATTTTTTTAAAAATTTGTTTTATTGGTATTTTTTTATATTCATTAATCAATACAGAAACAGTATATCAGTAGTATTTAATGTTATTTAAAAACAATATTATAATTAAGATACATAATATTTCTGACTAAAATGGTTAAAATCTTTATATGATTTTACCGAACTAGTCGCTGAATAAGTAAACCCATGGTTTATTTTTTATTCAAGACCAATGCCCTCATAAATTGTAAAAACGAAAAGCCAATTTATCAGATATCAAATTATGAGTTACTTAAATTTGATCGAAAATGGTTAAGTAAAAACAGACAATTATTAATAACTTTCAATAATAAAAGTTTCTTTTAAATATTTATAATTCTTATACTTTAACAGAACTTATTTTTAAATGAGAATTAAATGAATATAATTGAATCCATTAACTTAAATGGATGTAATCGAAATATTTATTCATTAAATAGCAAATACACAAGTATTTTCTATTTAATAAATAATCTATGGCGAGAAATGGACTGCGGCCTAGATGTTTACATGTGTCCAATAGAAAATATGTGACGCACGTTACAAAATTTTGAAGTTCCTCCTAAATTCTGTGTAAAATTTTATCAAAATATTTTTTTTCATTAAATAGTTATAGCTGTTTGTAATCGCTATATTTGTTTTGAATTACTCTGTATTTTCCTTAATCTTTTGCGAAAAAAGTAGCCTTTATTGGTTGACTGATTAACTCACATCATCATTCTAAATTCAAGATATATATATATATATCTTAACATTCCAAAATGTAATTTCTATTTATTTTAATAGAGATACTTGCTTATTTAATTTATTTTGCTAGAATACCCAGCAACGCACAACTGTGGATGCCATCATGAATGCAGAAGATAAAACTGCTCGTATTGTGCAGGCAGCTGAGCTCTACAAAGATCTTTATAAAGAAAAAGAAAAGCTGGCAAAGCAACTGAGGAAACTGACACTCATGAAATCACGAGTTCGTATATTAGTTTTCAAAATTATCTTAGCAGTTTTATCTTTTTACTTGATTCTTTGGGAAGATTTAATGTGTGATCTGTTGGTTGTGAAAATTTTGCTTTTGATTCAAGTTATTTAACATATTTCCTGAATCAAAAACTCAATTAAAATAAGTTCATTCAGTTATCATGCTTAATTGTCATTTTATAAAAAGCATTATTTAGTTGTAGATTTTTTTCTTATTTAATAAAAATTCTTAATATAATTTTTTTTCTGAATAAATAATAAAATTTCCCAAAATATAATTATGTATCAATTTAAGGAACCCTTTTTTGCAATTCAAGTTCAGATATTATGATGAGCATCAATTAAGAGAAGCATGGATATTAAAATTATTGAATTAATTGTTTATTCCTGTTATTAATTGTAAAAGATTAATTGTTTAAAAGATACATTTTTTTAAAAATATCACTATAAAAGGAATTAATTTTATGTTTTAAATGTTTGAGATAATTTTCTGAATTTAAAGCCCCCTCTATTAAGAATGCAAGAAAAGTAAAGTATCGAGTATTATGCATGTGACGTATTTAACAAAGATTTTTTTTCTTTCAAAATCTGATACTTAGCAGGAAAAAAAAATTTACCTAATCTATATGAAAACAAGAATAGTAAAAGAAAATAATGACAGAATTATGTTAGTTTTTCACAGGGGTGATTGTATTCCGGGGGTACTCCAGAATTCCGGTGTTTTTGGTATTATTCTTCTGGGTCTAAAAAGTAGGAGCAGGGCATATGATTTTTCTGGGAATATCGCAGAATTCTGCATTTCTCAACACCATTGATTCTTGAACTTTTGCTAATCAAAAACTTATAATCTGACGAATTTTTTCCCTGAATTCTTCAACCTAAAATTCAAATTTTGAAACTTTAGCTAATTCCCGCTACCGAGACACTTACTTACGTTTTCATACATACATTTTTCCTCCAATTGATTCTTTTGGTTTGACAGATTTTCGCCATTTTGAATATTTGGACCTGCTCCGGAATCCGCTAATATCAAGATTCTTATTCACACCGCTTGAATATCAAACATCGATTGTCATATTTGCCTAATTTAAAAGTTACTCGTTGCGATTACTATTCATGTGGTTTAAAAAATCCAATGTCGCGATTCATATTCACACGATTTTAAAAATCCAACATTGCAATTCTTATAAGAACTAAGATTTTTCTTAAGTTAATTACTGTAAAGGTGTGATATTCTTCATTGCTATTTAATTATAAATCTCATTTCAAAAAATTATGTTAAAAACGAAACATCTTATGGTACATAAACTAATATAGTGTTATTGATTTTTTGCGTATACAATTTTTAGGGTTTTTCACTTTGTGTCCCAATCACCCCTGCTCTTAAACTCGATTCTTCTAATAGATAGAACTTAAAGAATTCACAAGAATCAGCCAAAAAAAATTCATAAGAATCAGTCCATCGGAAGACATCCAGAACATCGTTATTTTGAGAATGAAAGAGCAAATATTGAATTAGAGTAAAACTATTTTAGTCATACCTCTGTTTATCCAAAGAGAGCAATCTGTGTTTATTTTTCTTCCAAAAAATAGGAATAAAGACCTTTAAAATATAAAAACGATTCTCATAAGTGTCATTTCCATTACTGCAGAATGAGATGGAGTGGTCAAAACAGTTTCTTTGAAAATGCAAGGGTTGTTTCAGCATTTCTCTGGATATTTTATTTTTTCTGTCAATTCTAAAATAGTATTTGGCTAATGTTGTTTAATTCTTTATTAAGTCTATTAGACTTTTAATTGGTATTTCTATTTTTAGTCCAAAAGAACTTCTATTTCAAGTACCCAAGATAATTTGAAACCAAGTAAGTGAACAACTTATACATATTTCAGAATTATAACTAAAACCTTTTTTATGTTTTCAATTAAATTTGTGTTTCTAATCTAATCTTTCAAATTATAATTTTTAAATTCCAGTTTAGAATACAGTAAAATACAATTTAGGCCTCTTTTAAGGTAATGATGAAATACAGAAAGACATTCAATACTTTTAACCAGAGGAGAAAGCTTATTGATTAAAGTAATAATGTGTTACTGTTTAGTTGCCAAAATATAAAAATATCAGGGGGGGGATCTTATTTTAAAATTAAAAATATAAAGCAACAACACATATTTTTACCCTTTACCAAATACACATGTTTTTAATAACGCATATAAATAATAAATTTTTAATAACACACATATACACATGTTTTTAATAACACATAGAAAAATACCCTTTACCAAAAAGAAGGAAACAAAACAAAGTACAAAAACTAAGAATGGCATGTTTTTTGTAAACAAACAACCTTACTTGATCCCTTTGAGGGACTTATTTTTCTTCAAATTCATTTGTTTATTTTTGAGGATAAATATCTCTTCTTCGTAACAAATTAAGATGTATCTCACATTGCCAAAAATATACTTAATTTCCGCAAAGAAACTACATCCACTATACAGTAAAGAATTTGGACAAAACTGCTATGAAAGGGCCACTCTCTTTTATTAAAATAATCCTTTGTGAATGAAAAAATAAACACAGAAAAAAAGTTTGACGTGAATAAGCTGTCACATTAATATTGGTTTCTTATTTGAAATTACCTACAGCAGTGTACTTGCTTGTATACTTATTAACTACGTACTTCTACCATACATTTTCATTTTTCAGGTTTCTTAGCTCTTAATATTGAAAAGGCCTGCAGCGAGACCAGCTCTAATAATAGCGACTCTGATACCGGAGAACACGTCCGAGCATCTTGTTCAAGCTTAAAGGAGGTATAATTTTTGTATTACCGCTTCATATTTTTTTTATTGAATCAATGAACAAGCTAGTTATCGAGACATGTTTACTAATTATCATACCTTGGATCAAAAAAGTGAATTAAAAAGACTAGTATTTAAATAGGATAATTTTGTTTAAAAACGTATCTTGGAGTTACAATTTGTGCCGAATCATTTCATATTAGCTTTGCTCTTAAATAAATATTTTTTTTTTTCGAATTATATTTAAAGAAACCATTTTTCACAGTAAATGTGTTACATTGAAAAAAGCATGCCTTATTTTGATTGAATTTTTCTCCCTCGAAATATATCTGGGGTTGCTGCAATCATTTAGTTAATAGTGAATTAGATTAAGTAAGTTTGAACCCTCAATGATGTTCATATTTTTGCAAGATCTCAGGAATTAAATGTAATGAATCAAATAATTATTGCATAATGTACTAAAAATAAAAGATATCCTGAATAGCTTTTGTTTTAATGACTGGATTTTCTCGTACTGAATGTCAATTTTTGTGGTTCTAGGAGTGATCTACAAATATGCTAATTATTGGTGCTAACTTTTAATTAATTTATGAAATCAGACACGAAAACTTACTTTCTCTGAATAAACATATATATATGTATATGCAATATATGTATGTACAATATATATTACTTCTTTTTTGCGTGTGAGCTGATAACAAAATTATATCTTTTCTTTATTTTGTTTTCTACCTTTTTAATTTAAAAAAAATATTTTTTAAACCCGTGGCAGAATCGTTCATAAAGATGACTCATTTTCTAATCTAATTTTGTCTTCTATTTCTATATGTGCAAATTTATATATATTAGGATGAAATCCCTATGCCACAAGCCATGATGAGTGATAAAACAGAAGTGATGTCTCTTACTGATATTAATTCCTTAGGTAAATTTATTTTATACTAGTTTTTGTTTGTGATTCAGTCAATTATTTTGCTTTAGAATTAAATAAATACTTTTGTAATGTACACTAATGTCAGAAATTGTGGACTGATGCATGAAAAATAAAAGCACACAATAAAAAATTATCATCATTGTTGAATAGCCTCATTCATTTTATCAGCCAGTGTTATTTATAAAGAACAAATATTTCCCACTTCTATTATATTTTGAAGATTGAAATTTGACACATAATAAGTTAATGTTGCCATCTAAGCATACTTGGATAAGGTGAAAAACTTTTTGGGAAGGCATATTTTAATTAAACAAAAACTTTCTGCAAGCATTTTATCGAGTCTTATAACTAGTTTTAACCCTTTCGTCGCCACTATTTCATTGCAAAATTTGCCAATAATGCTTGGCGAAATTTGTTACAAAAATACTGAATTTTCTAATAAATATTGTAATATTTAACACTACTTGTTTTTATACTTTAACACGACTAAATTACAAATGAAGAAAACAATATAAAAAAACAAATAAAGAGTTAAATTATTCATGACATAACAAATAAAATGTGTTAATAATTTGTAAAAATTTTTGTACTTTAAATATTTTGTGTGTATTATTGACGATTTACGATCATATTTTTGTCAGTTATTGTTACCAGTTTTCATAGTTTCTTAATGCCATGCAGGGGGAATTTCGAATCGCATTAGTAAAATTACTTTTTGATTACTCGATTTGTGACAATTTTATTGTCCACATGGTTTTATTGATCGCTATTTCAACAGTTTGGGATATCCACATAGTTTTTATAAAATGTCAATTTACTTTTTAATAGAATGATCCGCAAATTCTGAATAACGCTTTCGAACAATCAATTAATTATTAACCTGCTTAAGTCGTAAAAATTTAATCTCAAAACCACAATTTTTTTCAAAATGTGAAATTTTTGCACACTTTGCAATTAAGTGCTTGATTCTTAGCGGTAATAATCCTTTTGTGCGAAACATGAAAAAAATAGGCATTTTTTTCACGCTCCAGTGAAATGGCGAATTTCGTTTCCATAATATTTAATTTTTTTTAATTTGTAGCTGAAATCAGGTTAAAATCGAACATAAGTCGTAAGTCGAATGCCGTAATCGAAAAAATAGACTCGGTTAACGGATGTCCAGATTTGGAATTTTTTATTGTGTGTATTTATGTATACTATATAGTTTTTATGATAATATGGCATTTTTAAAAACATTTCTGATATGCTATATTTCTTTTAACATAGTTTTACAGAAAATTGAATATTACTATGGAAACATTAAAGTTTTGTTTTAAGAGTTAAGGGGAATTTTTTTTTCTATTTCTTTTCTTTTAATTTTACATCTTTTATGTTTTTTTAATAGTTCTTTACCAGTTTTTTATTTTAAATATTTGTTATAGATGACTATTATTGTTTTTTTTTCCGTTTATTTTTATTTTTTTTCCTGCTGGCTAACATTTTGATATTAGCATTTCAATCTTAAATCTTACTTAATTTGATAATGTAAAAAAACAATGATTAAATAAATAAGAGCAAAAATTTTAAAAGGATATATTCATTTTATGTTTTATGCATTTATTGAAATTCTATATTAAACTGAATGTTAAAGAAAATTTTTGTTCTCTTAACCAACATTTTAACACATTTCTCTTTTTCTAGATATTGCAATAAATAATCTTTGTGCCGCTGTCAAAGAGGATCAAGAATACAAACCTCCACCCAAAACAGAGTCTCTATGGTCAGTTCAAGAATCATTGTAATTTATCAATTTATGTACACTATCATGCATAAGTGTTATTAATTAAAACAAATATAGCAGAAATAATAAAATAAACTTTAGTTATATTTTTATTTAATAACATTTTAACATGATATGAACATACAATAGCATTATTTAGCATTAACAACGTAAATTAACTTATATTTTGCTCTAGTCAATGTGATCCCTTATCTTACACGTTTTACAGCTTTGCACAACCTTGGCATTTGAAACACTAAATTTTGCAATGTTTCGTGTCTGATGTTTTTTCAGGCATTCTCCAAACATTGCCGCAAGAAGATTTGTTGAAGCCATTGTGCAAACCTGTCTGTCCAACAGTTTCTCAATCGGGTGATTGTGGATTCCATGACATTACTTGTAGAATCCTTGCGTTTCTTTTAATTAATTAGCACACAATTTTGATGTGTGTATGGGATCATTATGTTGAAAAATGCATACTTACCCAATACTCTTTGTTCCAGAGGGTACTGTGTGATGTGCTAAGATATTAAATGGTGCGTATCATTTTTAAAAAGTACTTAAAGGTGCTTATTTTTGATTTTCGTTAATTAAAAGCCCTTAAAGGTGCTTTTTTCATTGGGTGTTTTTAATAAGTGCTTCATTTTCCCTTTTCAAAAATGAGATTTTTTTTCATTACCACATCGATTTTCGCCACATATTATGCAAAAGCGTGCTTTTCACATTGTTCTATTCAACGTTTTCACAATCCATTTTGGCGCCAATCATTTTGCATGTTAGATAAAATACTTACGAGTCCTTATGTGCTTCTACTGAGCTGGGTTCGGTGAGATTATTGCCTTCTCATGTGCAACTCTGCTGCCTTTTGCAAGATATTCTCAATTTCAGACTTCATTTTCCACCCTCTGATATCGAACCGAAAAATCTTTTGATCATTTTATAACGGCTAACGTAATGAAGAAAAGAGTTCTTTGTCAGAAACTAGTTATTTTATCATGATCATCTAAAGTCTTTGAAAATTATTTTGCATTTTGTTAATGAATATAGTGCTTAAAAATATTTTTTGATTGCTTAAAAACTGCTTAAAAGGTGCTTATTTTTTGTTGAACGGTTTACCTATACATATTATGATGCATCTCTTTTTCCATTAGTTAATTGTCTATGCACCAAATCTCCAATTTTTTCCCCACCCAGACCTCCTCTATGTTTCATAGTGTGGTTTTCTTGGCTCTTTAAATTGGGAGGAGGTTAACAATTAAGCTTATTATCTTATTGACCTTAATATTCTTAAATCCTTCCCACACATATACATTGTGACTATAATAACAGTTTATGAAATCATTTCTCCTAGCATAGTTTCATAAATTGTATTTCTTTTTACAGCTTGCAACTGTCACCCGTTGAAGAAGATACTCACATTCCATGCGTAATCTGTGGAAAATCTTTTCTGATCACGGCACACTCTAACATACCGATGATAGAACATATCGAAAAAGAACACAATATGGACATTTGCCCCCTTTGCGGACAATTGTTCGATAAAGCTTTCCCTTCAAAATACCTCCTGTTCCACGTTAATGACCATTTCCAATCAGAATGATGTCATTTGTGTACAATATATAGTATTGAATGTGTATTTTATATATCTGAGAAAATACTCTTTTTTAATTCAATTCTTTATGAGTGGTTATTGATTATTTGAGTTATATTTGTAATTTAAGAATTTCTCATTTAATCAGCATTTTGTTTAGTTTATTAGTGGACCAATTATTGCTTTTCTTTTATGAATATTTTTTTACTTGTATAAGTTTTTGATTTATGCTCTTTATAGTAATATTGCAAGGCCATTTTTAATTAAATATTGGGGTGAGGTTGCGTTACTAACTTGAAATGATTGTTCTTAAGGATATTTTCCATTCATATTCAGATCTGCCAACTCTCAGGCCAACAAAGCAAAGTATCTTCTCTTTTTTTTTTTTTTTTTAAAAATAACTGTTTGAATTGGCAAACCTAGGCACACTTTGCATACGTCAAAAAATATAATATAACCAGATAAGGGATTTTGTAGTTCAAGTGTGTTTACTTATATCCTGTTTAGAAGCTTTTTTTTAAAAAATTCAAATATGCAGGGTATCTGCGCACCTGGAAAGTCATGGATTTTGGTATTGAAAAGTTTTTTATGAAATGTCATGATTTTAAATTTTTTTTTTTTAAAAAAATCATGGGTTTATGTTTCCGAAAAATCTAATTTTTAAAATAGCTCCCTCCTGCCAATTACACATTGTTCCAATGTTCCAAATATCTAAATTTGTAGCAACTCATAGTCATATTCTATTAAAATATAAAATGTTTTTATTCTGTTCTTTAAAAATTATGTTGTTCTTTCAAAAAATGAAAGAAAGAACATCATTTTTGAAGCAAATTATATTTTAAACTTCTGTGAATTCAGAAATTTTTTATTTTATTTTATCAATTTAAAATTCTAGTTTAGGCTTTTGATATTGCACTTACTTTAAAGAAGAAATAAAACAGCTTTAAATAACTTCATATATCTGACATTATTAAGTTATTTGCTTTTGTATTTTTTTAGCTATTTTATCGCTTCATCTCTTTCTTTACACTGTTTTTTAAGTATAAAATCAATAAATATGAAGATGCAGAGTATAACGGTTTTGGTTATACCTATCTTTTCAATTAATGTTATTATAATGCTATTTTAAATTTATTGTCGTGTTTTTGTCGAAGAAAATAGTAAATTCGGTAAGTCGGGAAAAATTCTTGGAATTATTCATGGAAGGTCATGAAAAAGCATGGATTTGAAAATCTAAAATGTAGCAGATATTCTGTATCTGCTACATTTTTAAAGTTTTAATAATATAAAACTTTAAAAAGAAAATCAGACATTCAGTATTTTTTAGGAGTGAAAGAGTGATGATTTCTATTTCAAGAGAATGTGATAAATAAATTTAGTTTAAAGAAGGTTTGAATTTATTTATTGATTAGATTTTGTTTCAGTTATTGCACTATATTGCGGTAACTAAAATCTCCGCCTTTTTGAAGTTGGCAGGTCTGCATATTTACTCTATCTAATGTAATGTTATGAAATAGTATGCTTCAATATTTTTTTAGATATTTATATATGCGTCATAAATTTCTGTAGGCAAGTTTTTAAAAAGATCTACATTGTTTATTTTTTTTAATCCAAAAAATTAAATAAATAATGATAATTCAGACATTTTAGAAACACACTTCTTATTTCAGCTTTAAATTTAGTTTTTATACTGTATAAAAATTTAAATAATATCAAAATGTACGTATTAGAAATAGTTAGTCTTGGCTTGAAGAACAACACTGTGCTTATACATTTTAATTTTATAGACTTGAACTTGATATGTACAATTCATAAATAAAGCTCTATTGAGATAATAATTTGTATTTCTTTATTTTTTTTTTAATTTTTATTGTGTAATAGTATATTTATCTTTATCATGAACTATATTATCATTCAATATAACATCTCTAATGTAAAAAAAAAACTGGATAACTTTTTTAAAAACAACAATAAAAAGAATACAATTGATTCTTTATCAACACAGAAAGGCATGATTTAACTAATCTGATTTTTGAAAAAAAAAATCATTGATTTAAATTAACAGATTTTTTTCAAAAGCCATTAATTTAAGCTGACTTTTTTTTTAAAAATTAAGTATAAAATATTTTTTATAGAATATGATTAATAAATACATTCTTTAAGATGTAATTCTTTTAAAGTCTGAATTCAGTGATATTTAAGTTTTTTTTTTTAAAGAAATAAAAGGGAAATATATGTAAATTATTATATTTGCATGCATATCTCTTTGTTTCATTAAAAAAAATCATTGATTTAAACATACTGATTTTTTAACATCAAATATTTAATTAAACTGATTTTTATAAATTATTAATTTAATTTTAAAATATTGCTTATACAACTTAGTTTTTAAAAAATGCGTTATTTAGGGCATGATTTTTTTTTCATATTGAAGATTTCTTACTAAGAAATAATAAAAGAGATTTGTAAGTAAATTATTAAGTTTCAAAATAATAAACAAAGGTGACTAATAATAATGAAAGGTTGCAAAATGTGGATAAGAGTGTCGTGCAACTTCTAAATTATAATTTTTCCATTAAATGTATGTTAAATAAGCACACAAAAAATTATAAAACCATATTTAAATTGAGTCTTTTAAAAACTTATTACATATGTATTTCGTGTAATGTAACTTAAATTGATTTATTTTCAGTTGTGTTTTCTAATCTAAACTAATTTACTTTTCATTCAATATATAATTGACCAATAGTCTCTCAATGTTTAACATTTATTAGCAAATTTGAGCCTAAAAAAACGGGACTATGATTTTATTTATTCGATTAAATTATTAAAATGTTCTAATAAATGTAAGAAATGTTATTTTTGTAGAAAAATGAACTACTTTAGAAAATATTAAGTACTATTAATACATCTTATCATGTGTTTTGATTGATAAATATTTAAAAGAAATCTCATTTAAATAAAAGAAATCCCGTTTAAATAAAACAAATTCAATTTTTAAAAAAAAGTCATGATTTTTGCCAACCTTGAATGGTGGCAATATCCAGTGCAATACGGTCTTTCAAATCGGCCATGGCCAAGGAGGCACATTCACATGGCTCTATCTTTTAAGAAACTCCACAGGAAAAAAAAATTACATGGGGGTGAGATCTGGGGATTGTAATGGCCAAGGCAAAAATGCGTTGTCTGCGATACATACGCATCCAATCCACCATTTTTAAGACGGCATTTTTCTGTTCTGTCCGTTTTGTTTTCGCAGAAATGCTGATGATAATTGTTTTCCCCCAATGCTGCGAGAGAAAGAGACTATAACATTCTATACTGCCATACCAAAAGAAATAATTATAAACTTGTTGAGGGCCCACAATGTGGTATAATATGTAAGCATGTATATATTTCTAAATGTGTATAATGGCAGTAAATTGTTGCTTATATATTGTACATATATATATATATATATATGATTCCATATCTAAACCTTAATATTAACATATAGTTTTCAAACTTTATTATATTACTAGCTAAAAACCCGTTCTTCGCACGGGGTGAATAAAATATTTAAAAAAAAGGAAAAAATCAATAAATCATTACTGAGAAACACAACACAATCATGTGCGAAACTGAAAGGTATATACCAACAAAATTAAAGAGCTTGATGGAAGAACCAGGTGAACGAAAGAAAATAACAAAAGGTGTTTGCATCAATATGGGTATGTTTAATTTAACAAAACTGTTTTTGCTTTCACTTTTATCTTGACATAACTATCCGTATTAGTTTTTAGTATGCTCCCATGATTTTCATTTCAAATTGGGCAGTGGTAAATAAAATAAAGCAAAGAATTATTAGTCCCACCTTCTAATGAATTAGTAATAAAATAATTCAGATACACGTGTTCTTTTTCGTTCTGAAAATGTCACTTACTTGGTTCTTCCACTAAGTTTTTCAATTAATATAGCTAAAATAATTAAAAAAAATTTTATTTAATGTTATATGTTGCAATCTTCGGTGGCTTTGCGTCATTGAAGTAAGCAAAGTTGGTTGTTTGTAATTCATACCATTGGAATAAAGATAAAATGTATATAGCATCTCTTGGCATGATGCTATTGCTCGTGGCCAATTCATGATAGTTAAATCTTACCGAGGGACCGTAAAGCAATTAATTCCAAAGTATCGATATTAAAACTGATTGGTGAAGTTTTAATAATCACCTAATATATCAAAATAATATTTTATACCTATATTAGTATATTTGGTACTTATTACATAAGCCTTCAATATTTGAGTTTATGCATATTTGTCAGTGGCAGCCAAATTTTTTTTTCTAAAAAATATTAGAACTTCATAAGGATTTTGGAGCATTTCTCTATCTGACCTTTAATTTACTGTTAAAATATTTATAAATAGTATAGGAAAAAATTCCTTCAATTCTAATTCATTAAATAATACACTATCTTAGCTACCACTAAAAAAAATATTTTCTGAAACTACGGAAAACCCGTTGTAGAATTCTTATCAAAACCAATTCGCCAATTACCATAATACCAGTAGTACATATTACCGTCATCCGTGAATGCCGATTTTTTTACTATTTTCTTAAACGAATTTCCCATTTATCTTTCCTCCCTGAGCTTTTGCTTTTTAGTACATAGTTTATTTTATTTCAATTAATACGCATTATCAATATTAATTAAGCATTATTGTCAATAATAATATGCAAATTTTGAACGGTAACCCAAAACGCGAATTAAGTATCTTTTCTACTTATTTTTACTTTTTAGTTCAGAAGTTACCTTTTTTTCTTTCATTAGTATACATTACCAACATTAATTAAGCATTACTGTCGTCAATGATAGTATGACGATTTCTTAGAGTTCTAGACAAATAAATACCTTTACTCCATTTCTCTTATTTTCTTGTACATAGCTTATTTCTTTTATTTCAATATGCATATATTACCCCAATTAAGCATCATTGGCATCGATTTTCATGCTTCTCCCAAACGAATTAGTACCACTTTCCTAAGCGTGGAGGTAGCGGGTTCGAATCCCGCCGTAACCCTGGATGTATTCTTTGTGATGTCTTTCTCTGAATTGTTCTATCTGTATTTTCCAGGGTTCGCCAAGTGGGCCCACCTTGAAAAAACCCACTTGGAACGATAAGTGGGTTTTTTCAAAAAAAAAATTTTTTTTTACTAGAACTTATTGTTTCACATTTATTTTTATATAATTTATTGTGCAGCATAAATTTGTCAAATAGAGTTGCATGATTTATATGATTAAGTTTTTAATATTAGTAAAGTAAAAGAAACTCAAATATTCATATAATTTTTATAGTAGGTGCTATTGAAAACTTCAAGTGGGTTTTTTCAAAAAAGTAATATTTTAATGATATTAAATCAAATAAAAATTTAAATAATATAGTCTGAAAAGATCAATTTTTCAACTATAGTTGCATGCTTTATATATTAATAAACAGGTAATATAATACATACAGGTAATATAATAATATAATATATTAAAAAAAATTGAAAAGAAACAATTTTTTTCTTTTTTTGCCAAGTGATACATTAACAAATTTAAACAGTTTTATTTTCTAGCTTAAAAAAAAAAAGCTAAAACTTTTTATAGGAGAACTTTTTAAAATTATTTATCTAAAAATGAAATCCTTTTCCTAGGGTTAATTATTTGAAAACAAATGGGACAAGTAACTGATACTCTTTATAATTATACGTAGTTTTAATTTCACTTTCTATTAATCTTATTATAGAAACATGTAAGACCATTAAATATTTATTTCAGTTTTTTATTTAACTCAA